TCACCCTTTATGCAACCAAGCACCAAATTCCTAGCCTCAGCTCTAGTTGTGAGACCCATAGAGTATCAGCTAAAATAATGAATGAAGGTGAGACCAGAAGTTTAGATAGAAGGAATCAGGAAGAAAAACTGACCCTGACTTTCAACTTGGAAGGAGAACTCTAATGAATCTAAGCTTGGCCTTGTGCTATTTAACATTTTTATCAATGACTTAAAGACATCAGTGACATACTTGTCAAATTTGCAGATGACACAAAGCCTGAAGGGATAGATAATACAAAGCATAACACAGCCAGCGTTCAAAAATATATTGAACACTTAAAAATACACTAAAGAGCTAGACCATTTGGATGAATTGACAAAGGTGAAATTTAATGGGAATAATATAAAAAGCCATACACTTAGGTTCAAAAAAAACACGGTCACAGACACAAGAGAGGTGAGAGAGCAACTAATCTGAAAAAGATTAGAGGTTTTAATGGAGTTCAAGGTCAATACAATTCAACAGTCACAGTACAAAAATAGCTTGATGTAATATAAGCTATATTAAGAGAAGCTCGCTATATAGGATGAGGTTTGCATAATTACCTCTCTACTTGCCCTAGTCAGGCACACTACAGTACAGTGCATAGAGTTCTGAGCCTGGAATCAGGAAGACTCATCTTTATGAGTTCAAATCTAGCCTCAGACACTTACTATCTGTGTGACCCTAGGCAAGTCACTTAACCCTGTTTGCCTCAGTTTCCTCATCTGTAAAATGAGTTAGAAAAAGAAATGGCAAACCACTCCAGTATCTTTGCCAAGAAAACCCAAATGGGGTCATGGAGAGTTGGACGGACATAACTGAAAACAGCAAAAGTCAGGCTACCTATGGACTACTTTCTGATCACCACATTTTAAAAGGGAAATTAATAACCTGGAGAATGTACATAGGAAGATAGCCAGGATGCTAAAGAGCCTTAAATTTACATCATATGAAGATCATTTGAAGGAACTGGGGATGTTTAACCTAAAGAATAGAAGATTAAGAGGCGACATGATAATTGTATTGTCACAAGAAATAGAGATTAAACTTGTTTTTCTTTGTCCTAAAGGGGAAAACTAAAAGAAATGGGTGGAAGTCTCAAGGAGTCAAATTTAAGCCTGATATAAGGAAAAACTTCCTTGTAATTGGAGCCACCCAATAACAAATGGCATACTGGGGGCCTTCAAAACAATCTTTATAGGGGCAGGTAGGTGGCACAGTGGATAGAGCAATGGCCCTGGATTCAGGAGGACCTGAGTTCAAATCTAGCCCGAGACACATAATGCTTAACTAGCTGTGTGACCTTGGGCAAGTCACTTAACCCCATTGCCTAGCCAAAAAATTATAATAATAATCTGAATAAATTCTTGTAGAGTAGGTTGTAGAAGGGATTTTTCTTCAGATGGAAGTTGGACAAGGAAGCCACTGAGGTCTATTCCAACTCGGAGATTGTTGATTCTAGAATTATAAGGAGATGACTCCCCACTATATAATGAAAGGTAAAAAACAAACAACAGCTGACAAACCTTTTTTTTTCTTTTACCTAATAATTCTCTCCCACCCAGGAAAATGTGATCTAGAGTAGACTATTCTTCATTCTCAGAGGACTATATTTTAAAACTATCATCATTTGGCATTGTGGGGGATGCATAATAAAGGGTCATCTCCAGGGCTCTGATCTAGATAAAGAACGGTAATATTTCACATTTTCACAGTAATCTGGACAAGGAAATTGAGAACATGCCTGTTAAAGTTTTTTTAATGACAGTGAGTGAGCAGAGGTAGCTAGAACTTTGGAAGGCAGTGCCTATCAAATGTGGAATATTCAAAGACAGGGTAAATATTAGTTGATGAAGATGCTCTATGACTTGCTATCTCAGTGACCTTGAGTAAGGTCACTTAACTGGACCTCAATGCACCATATCAAGAGGGGGATGGAATAGATTATCTCTCAACTCTAGCATTTTATGAGTCTGTGGTTGTGTAAAGGAGTGTCCTGTGAAAATCAGTGCTGGGAGGAAAAGATCCCTAAAGTCTGAATATAAATAAATTAGCCAGGATTAGAAAAGACTACCTTGACAATGCATTAACTATTTTCAGCCATTTCCTGGACCAGTGGACAGAAATCTTCCCAGAAATACAAGCATCTAAGTTAGCCCAGACATTTTCCCTTACCTTCTGGACAGGTTTTTCCAGGAGAAAATATATAGCAACATGGAAGAACTTAGTCCAGAAAGTCAGAGAGTCTTTGAGGTTGGCAACCTTAATTATAAGTGGAAAAAAGGTCTTGTCATCACATTCTACCTATCTACCTACCCCTATCCTCAGCCCTCAAACATACATAATAGGTTAGGCAAAAAGCCTTCTCCATTTTAGAAACACTTGTTGGAACATATACTGCAAACAGAACAGAATGGCCCAGGGGGAAAGAACAGGTTTGGCATCAAAGGACCTCAGTTCAAATCTCAGCCCTACCACATATTGGCTGTTTGACTTCGGGCAAACGATCACTTGATTTTCCCAGACTTGTTTCCTCATCATTAAGATGACAGGGTTGAACTAGAAAAACTTTGACATCCTTTCCAGCTCTAAATCTATGTTTTATAACTTCATAATCTATTCGTATGCTCAGTCTGACAATATATTACCAAGTCATGTCAATTCTACTTTTATATTTCTTGCATCAGTCCCCTTCTCTCAACTCATACAACCACCACTCTCATCACCTTTTACCTAAACTACTGGAGTCATCAATCTCCTAATTGAGTTCCCTCCTTGCAGTCTTGGCTCTCACCAAACTATCTTCCAAATATCTACCAAAGTCATTTTTTAGGGCTTGATCTCACCATGTCATCTTCCTACTCAAAAATCCTCAGTGGCACCCAGAGGAAGAACTATAGAGTCTGAATGCAGATCAAAGTATACTATTTTCACTTTTTTTTTCGTTTTTTGCTTTCTTCATGGTTTTTCCCTTTAGTTTTGTTTCTCCTGTCATGGCATATCTAATGTGGAAATATGTTTAACATGATTTCACATGTATAACCTATATCAGACTGCTTGCCATTTTGGGGAAGGAGGAGGAGAGGGAGGGAGAAAAACTTGGAACTCAAAATCTTATAAAAAATGAACGTTGAAAACAACCTTTATATGTAACTGGAAAAATAAAATACTATTTACAAAAATATTAAAAAAAAATCTTCAGTGTTTCCCTTAGCCTGGCATTTAAGGTCCTCCAAAATATAGCCTTAAGCTACCTTTCCATAGTTATTTCACATAATTCCCCTTCATGTAATTGGCATTCCAGTCAAAATGTACCACTAGCTATTTCCCAAAGTTGGCATCCCATCACCCATCTCCATAGAATCACAGATTGAGAGCTAGTAAGGACCTTAGAGGCCATCATGCTTATCCACCTCATTTTACAGATGAGGATAGCATGCCAAGAAAAGTCAAATGACTTGCCCAGGGTCAATCATACAGATAGTAAGTGCCTGAGGCAGGTTTTGAGCCAACATGTTCTGACTTCAAGATCATTCCTCTATTCACAGTGCTATGCTGGCTCTCCATTCATTCTGAAAGACTGACCATCCTCATGACTGGAGTACATTCTGTCCCTTACTCACTCAGCTGTTAATGCTCTCTCCCTCCTCATACTTTTTATTTACTCATTTATTTACAAGTGGCATTACACAGCACACACATACACATGATGGCAGAAATAGTAGAATGTAAGCTCTTTGAAGGCAGGAACTATTTAATTTTTGTCTTTGTATCTCTAGCTCCCTGCAATACATATGATAGGTATTTAATGAATATTTGTTGTCTTGAACTGATTTTTACTCAGAAAATGCCACACATTTTCTTGCATTAATTCTACTGCTTATTCCAATATCCTCCCCCCTAGTAATATTTGGAGTATTATAGTTATAATTGTATAATATATTATATATAGTATTATTTTTTTTCATTGAGGAATGAGAAGGGGAGAGAAGAGAAGGTGAGGAAAGGAAAGGAAAAAAGAGGAAGGGAGAGAAAAGAAGGAAAAGGGAAGGTGGGAATAGAAGGGATACAAAGACCAAAATAAAACATTCCCTGTCTTCAGAGAGCTTACATTCTCATAGAAGGACATAGAGATAAATCTGCCAAGTAATGTAATTTCAAGAGGGAGACAGTGCTTAGAAAAGGCCTCATTCTAAAGATGGTATTTGACTGTGCTCTGAAGGAAGCTAGGGGTTCTATACTCAAAGGTGAGGAGAGAGCGACCTCCCTGAATGCTGGAGCTAGAGATAGGCAGAAGACTTTGGCTTCCTTCATTTAAAGCAAACAGTGTGCATTTCTAGAGTGTTAGGCCTGGAGTCAGGAAGACTCATCTTCCTGAGTTCAAATCTGGCCTCAGATGTGGCCTCAAATCTAGCTATCTGACCCTGGGCAAGTCACTTAACCCTATTTACCTCAGTTTCCTCATCTGTAAAATGAGCTGGAGAAGGAAATGGCAAACCACTCTAGTATCTTTGCCAAGAAAACTCCAAATGGGGTCATGAAGAATCAGATACAACTGAAAAACAACTGATCAACAATAAAATACATTTCTCCTGCTCAAACAGCTATTCCTCTAAGACAAAAATATAATTCAGAAACACTTAACTCATAACCTGTTGTTTACTCTGAACCTAAGCAAAGGAGTGTGACTACCTAAGCTGCTACCATTGCTTAACATTTTCCAGTATGACTCCTGGGATATGAAATCTACAGCACAATAGTTGGCTTTCAAGTGCCTGCAACTGAGCTAGTACTCCTGCCCAAACCAGGACCAGCAATAATCAATCATTCGATCAAGAATCATTTATTAAGCAAAGGAAACAATGTTTCTGCATATAAATATATTCAAAATAAATACAAGGCAATTTTAGGGGAATGGCACCAACAATGGAGAGGATTGACAATCACAAGTCATCAACAAAGTAGCTACTACTCACAGAAATTCACATTTTGTTGCTGGAAGAACTTCACATTGTTGCTACCATGTTGCTAGCCATGGCAGATTGGATAAGCCAGTCCGAAAATAGTTTGTTTTGTTTTGGTTTGGTTTTTTATTGAGTCCTACAATAACTATGTTGCCAGCTGAAAAAAACAAAACAAAACAAAAACAAAAATTATCATGAATTGATGGATAATCCCACCTTCCCGTGTTTCATAAGCATTTCCAGGAAATAATGAGTATAGTATTTCCCCATCACCTGCTTCCTATACCTCCATCTTCCATTAGGGAAAAGGGTAATAGAGCACTAGCCCTGGAGTCAGAAGGACCTGAGTTCAAATTCGGCCTCAGACCAAACACTTGACACTTACTAACTGTATGACCTTGGGCAAGTCACTTAACCCCAATTACCTAAAAAACAAAAACAAACAAACAAAAAAAGACAGAAAAAATCATGTGCAAGTCGTATCATCTCCCTGATGTCATTCAAGGTCCTCTTCAAGAACAAAGGACAAAGGGGCAGCTAGGTGGGACAGTGGATAGAGCACTGACCCTGAAGTCAGGAGGACCTGAGTTCAAATGTGCCCTCAGACCAAACACCTGACATTTACTAGCTGTGTGACCCTGGGCAAGTCACTTAACCCCAATTGCCTTAAAAAAAAAAGGCTACTGGAAAAGGATAAGAATAAGTTTGCTGCCCGTTGATAATACCTATGACTCTGGATATGAAATGTTCACTCCCTACCTCTCAGAATTGTTGCAAAGATAAGACAATATTTGTAAAATGCTTTGCAAACCTTTAAGTACTATATAAATGCTACCTGTTACTACTCTTCTTTACTACTGGAAACAAATCTCATTTTAAATTTAAAAAGAATTTAGCATATTTCAAATTCAACTATGTTTCATGTCTTTCAATGTCTATAGCAGATATTGACTGAGAAACATTTTATAATTCAATTTTAAAGTCCTACATAGTTGTAGACATGTGTTTCAACTCTGGAAAGATTTCTGATTTCTTCAGATGTCAAACTTTCATTATGCCTTCTCATCACTATCAGGGATGCATTCCTGAATACACTGGCAATACCTGAATAGCCTTCCATATTTTCTTCTGTGTTTTCTAGGTAAACATCATCGGCCAACTCTAGCTCATACAAACATTCACAAGAGCTCTTCTCTGCCTTTTGCTAACGGAATCTGACTAATTTTATCCAGGTGAAACATCCTTTTCCATGGTTTCCTAATACCCTTAAAGAATTATGGTGTCCCCATAAGTAAAAACCACTGTTTCTTTGAGCAATTTGATTTCAATTTCTACTAAATTGTCTCTGTAATTCCATCAAATGCTGGGATTCTGAGAAATTATGTCTCTTTCCAAAGCTTCTATTTTCTTTATCATACCCAGACAAAAAAAAAATGTGTCTCTGGTTCTAAAATTGCAGCAGATGATTCATTCTTTTCCTTCTTTTCTTTATACAGTTTTTTTTTCTTTTCTCAATAAGAGATTGCTTTCTTTTGTTCCTTATGAAGAGATGTGAAGACGGATGATGAGGAAACTGGCTGGGGAAGGGAAGGAAATAAGTATTTAGATAGGACCTTCTGTGTCCCAAGTACTACACTAAGCTATTTACAAATATTCTCTCATTTGACTGATGCATTTGGATGGTCGTTACATTCTGGGTCCTAGTGATGGTTCATGTTCATGGGCATATCAAGAATCAAAACTTTCCCTGTAGAATCCAGAAGCTCCTCGTGTACAGCTTTCAATAAAGTGCTGTCTAGTTTAAAGTTTTTTAGGGTTTTCATGACATTCTTAGCACATTTAGCCTCAATACACATCTCGTGACACATCAGTTGCCATTTTCACTGCAGGTACATATTTTTGCCCAAGTACAGATATCTGTTCATTTGCTTACATGTTCCCTGATAATAGACCATAGTTTCCCAGAAAAACATATTTATTCGCAGTTAGGTGGCATAGCTGATTGAATACTGGATTTGGAGTCAGGAAGTATTGAGTTCAAATCTTCCCTCAGGAATTTACTAGACATGTGACCTTGGAAAAACCACTTCATCTTTGTCTGTCTCAGCTTCTACATCTTTGAAAGGAAGATAATATAATCACCTCCCTCATAAGGTTGTTGTGAAGATAAAATGACATCATATTCATAAAATGCTATATAAATGCTTTCTATTATTATGAACCAATTCTACGTGTTCACTAATCATAAGAAGATCCATGCCCAGTTGTAAGTTATTGCTGAATTGGTGTTGGTGGCTCTGAATAGTTTCCTTTTAAAGGGGAAAGGTAGGAGAAAATTTAGGAAAGGCAAGCGATCACCCATCCAGAAAACTTAACTAATCTCCTTCTGTGATGTCTACTGAATCAGACTCTCCAAGTTGAAAAGAAAGGGATGTCAAAAGCCAATTAGTGCATCCCATACCTGAACGAGAACCACCATACCTGACAAGCCATCATATAGCCTTCATCTAAACACTTCCAGTGAGAGTTAACTTCCTACCTCCAAAGGTATCCCATCCTACTGTTAGAAAGCTCTAATTATTAGGTTTTTCCTTACATTGTGTTTCCTTGCACAGGTTTCAGTGTCCACCCATTCTCCTTCTGAAGCCAAAAAAAAAAAAAGTTAATCCCTCTTCCACATGACAGTCCTTCAAGTACTTGAAAACAGCTTTCAAGTCATCCATAGGTCTTCTCTTCTCCAGGCTAAACATGCACAGAGCCTTCAACCAATTTCCATGTGATATGGGTTCCAGTACCTCCACCATTCTGTTTACCCTTGTTTGAACTGGTTCCAGTTTGTCAATGTCGTTACAAAAATGTGGCACCCAGACAAAAAAACTTAAGATCAGATTTGCTTTTTCAGGGCTACCATTCTACACTGTATACTAAAACCTCTGGATATTTTCTATCAACTCCTTTCCAAAAAGAAAACCTATCTAGCCATACCTTTCTCTGCTTATAGCCTCCTCCCTGTACTTGAACAACTGATTTTTTGAACCTACATACAGGACTTTACATTTAACACTGTTAAATGTCATCGTATCACATTAGCCCATCATTCTAGCCTGATACACTCATTTTGGATCCTGATTTTATTATTTGACATGTTAAATGTGTTATCCGTTCTGGTTTTTATTATCTACAAATTTGATGAACATCGTAACATCAAGAACAGATCCTGGGACACTCCACTATAGCCCTGCCTCCAAATTGACCCTATTCTGAAACAAGCTAACCATAACATCTTCTAGCTTCCCATCTTGTCTACAAGGATTGCATGAAAGGCTTTCTCAAATGCATTGCTAAAATCCAAGAATGCCTATGGAATTCTCTTAATCTTTTGTTGTTCAGTAGTTTCGGTCATGTCTGATTCTTCATGACCCCATTTGGAGTCTTCTTGGCAAAGATACTGGAATGGTTTGTCATTTCCTTCACCATCTCATTTTACAGATGAGGAAATTGAGGCAAACAGGGTTAAGTGACTTGCCAAGGTCACACAGCTACTAGGTGTCTGAGGCAAGATTTGAAGTCAGATCTTCCTAACAGGTGCTCTATCCATTGCACCACCTAGCTGCCCTCCCTTAATCTACCAGCCTAGTTTTTGGTCCAGATCCATGATTTCAAAAGAAAATTGGGTTATAGATAAAAGGAATATCATCAATATATCAGTCTAGAAACTCTATCAATGTAAGAAATTAAATTAGGCTGTCATCACCTATTTTTGATGAAGCCAGGTTAGCTATTAGACCACCAATTCTGTTTCAAAATGCTCACAAACCTCTAAGAATACATTACAGGATTTTGTCAAGAATTTGTGTCAAACACTCTGGGAAGGAGGAAAGGAATAAGCGTTTATTAAGTAACTATTATGTGCCAGGTACTGTGCTAAGCAGTTGACACATATTATTTCATTTGATCCTCACAACAACCCCAGGAGGTAGATGCTTAATTATCCTGATTTTATAGATGAGGAAACTGAGACAGAAAGAGGTTATGTGATTTGCTCAAGGTCACACAGGTAGTAAATGTCTGAGTCTGTATTTGAACTCAGATTTACCTAACCCTAGGTCCAATGTTCTATCCACTGGCCCATAGTTTGAAATTTTCCCTCTTCTTTTAGGAGAAGATTTGTGTAAGGTGTTTTTTTTTGCTTGAATTGGAATAACTCCAATAATTTAATTTAGATTCTGATTTGGGCTGAGACCAAGGAATGTCACAAAGCACCTAGTGTGGTACCTTGCATACAATAAATGTTTTGTATTTGTTAAATGAGTGAATGACCAAATAACTGGATAAAAGTTCGGGTCACTTGGATTTGCACTAAAATCAATACCTGGTTCCACTTCTCTCACTTATCAATAACAAGCCTAATTGTTAATGGTGCTGATGTCCAAGTAGTCCCATGAGATCTCAATCTTCAAGCTTCCTGCGGTTCCATTTCACCCTGAAAGAAAAGATTCTTGTCACCTCATTCTAAGCTCAGGTGACCGGTTCTACCAAACACTAGCAGAGTCTGCATTTAACTAAAAAAAAGAAAGAAAAGTAAACACATGCAACACTGAACTTACCTTCCCCCTTAGATCTTCTTCTTCAGACTTCACTATTTTTTGTAAGGTAAATTCATCTAATTTCCTATGTTTATTATCATGAAATTATCTTTGATTCTCTCCTCTCCTTTACCATTCATATCCAATCAACTAGCAAGTCCTGTTGATTTTATCACCCAAATAGCTCTCTCAGCCATTGGTCCCTCTTTATTCCTGTTGCCACAGTCCTAATCCAGGCCCTCAGTAGCCCTGGCCTGAACTGTCACAGTGGCCTCCAAACTAGTCTTTCTGCCTCCATTCCCTTCTCCCCTCCAAATTATCCTTCACTTCTTGTTCTTCAGTCATGTCTGACTCTTCATGACCTCATTTGGGGTTTTCTTGGCAAAGATACTGGAGTGGTTTGTCATTTCCTTCTCCAGTTTATTTTACAGATGAGGAAACCAAGGCAAACAGGGTTAAGTGATTTGCCCTGGTCACACAGCTAGTAAAGTGTCTGAGGTCAGATTTGAACTCAGGTCTTCCTGATTCCAGGCCCAGCACTCTATCCACTGAGC